AAATATTTTTTTTCAAAAAACAATTTTTATAAAAAAAATATTATCTATGGATATCTGTAAATATCCGTGGATTACCCGCTTAACGGATACCTGCATGGATATGGGACAGATATGGATATCATATTTATCCAACATGGTAGATACAAATATCATAGTATTTGTCCCCATGGATATCCATTTACATCCCTAATCAAGTGATAACCTCAATGATGAGTCTTCACTCTATAGTGATGCATAATTGAAAGTACCAAAGCCTTTGGGAAATTCCTCATAATGACCAAACATCAAGTCATATAAAAAGTTTACCCATTAAGGAGTCTGAATACACAAGTCAATCTGAGGGTGAGCCTATAGAGCAAGAACATGTATACATAGATGGCGTGAATGAGGAAGTCACAAATAATTCTAAAAAAGAATCATCAAGTGAAAGTGAAATAGATGTCTCAAATGAGGAGGAGCCTCAGAACATGTCACGCATAAGACGACCTCCAAATCATCTAAAAGGTTATGATTGTGGCAAATTAAACATATATGTATTTGGGGGTGCCTCTGTCCAGCAAGTGCCATAAGAAAAATCATTATCAGTTTCTTATAAACAAGGTTAGAACCAAGTTGAGCCACTTGATGTGTAACTAGATGCCCTTTACTGAGAGGGTTACTCTTGTAAAATCGTTGATAGAAGACCTTCCTACTTACATTTTATTTGGGGTCATAACAATGATTCTAAGAAAATGCACATTATTCATTGGTATGATATTTGCAAACCAAAGTAATTTGATGGTTTGGGCTTAAAACATCTTGTTAAGATGAATGAAGCTTGTATTTCTAAGCTGAGTTGGAAGCTTAAGTGTGGCGATGAGGCCTTGTGGTGCCAAATTTTAAGGGGAAAATACATAAGGAAAGGGATTGATGGGAATGTTTTGGAGGTTAATCCATATGATTCGAGCTTGTGGAAGCATGTGGCTAAAGAATGGGTTGCTCTTGATAATCATGTGATATGGGGGGAAATTGGGGGGGGGGGGGGGGGTCTAGGATTCAAGCGTAGGATGACTATTGGGTGCAGAAAGGTGTGAAGCTAAGAAATGTGATGATCACTCGTGGCTCTTGTTCGGAGGTCAATCTGCTTAGAAATGTGATGATCACTCGTGGCTCTTGTTCGAGGTCAATATGCTTAGAAATGTGATAATCACTCATGGCTCTTGTTCGGAGATCAATCTGCTCAATGATCTGGTTAATTGCCAAGGAAATTAGAATTGGAACATTATTAATGCTAATATTCCTGCAAAGTATGTGAAGAAAACACGTGTCATAGCTCTTCCTCAAAGGGATAGTTTTTATCAAGATAATTGAATTTGGAGCGAAATTGCGACTGATATGTTTCCTATTTCCAACTCTTATGAGGTTTGAAACTCCCCTTATTAGGATGTGAAGGAAATGTAGTGGAGCAATATTTGGAAGCTTGCAGTACCTAAAAGAGTTAGATATCTTGTGTGGCCGGTTCAAAATAAAGGGCTAAAAACTAACCTTTTACTCTATAAGCGTAATCTTAGGGATTCTTTATGTGGTGATTGTCCATGTGTTGTCGTATCCTTATTACATGTGTTCAGAGACTATTTGGTGGCTAAGGGCATCTAGCTGAGTTTGGTTCAGGCTCAACATTGTACTACATACTTTCTCTTGCTCTTGATGAGTGGATAACTTTTAATCTTTTTCAGAACTAAGGCTCTCCTAGTATGTATTAGTCTGTTATTTAGGCCACTGCATATTATAAGTTATGGTAGTGAGGAAATCAAAAACTTCACAACTCTGATTTTGTGCTTCCTGAGATGTTGACTAATGAAATTCAGCTTGTTCATAGTCATTATAGAAGTGCAACTACGTTGCAGAAGAAGGTAGTGAGAAATGTCAAGCCTAAGACTCTTGCAAGATGGGTGCCTGCTGAAGAAGGTTCAGTGATTGTTAATATTGATGGTACAGTTTGTAGTAATTGTAAGTTGGGTGCGAATGCCTTATTAGGAATGTTAAATGTGCCTGATTATAGGTTTTGTCAATTACATTGGTAATTGCAATGCCCTTCTTGTTGAATTGTGGGGAGTCCATGAAAGAATAAGATTGGACAAGAGTTATAACTTTAACAATGTTGAGTTTCCGGTGGACAATGTAGAAGTTTTTAAAGTTATTATTAGTTACAAACTTCATAGAAAGTTCGGGCTAAGCATGGTTTGCAAGATTCAAGATGACCTCAAAGGCTTACATAATTTTTGTGTTAAGCATATCCTTTATGAAGCTAATAAATGTGTGGATCAACTAACAAAATTTTGTCTCTCTATAAATACCCGTCCTTCCTACTTAAGTTTGTCCATCAGGATGCTGCCGGGGTTGGTTAGTTTTGTTGTTGTTTGGGCTTAGGCCCTTCTTTTGTCCAAAAAAAAGTTTAAGTAAGTTTAGAGATGCATCTTCAAAACAAATTTGAAACAAAAATTATGAGGTGAATCTCAATTGAAGCGTGTTTCGGTGAGATAAATGGTGCGTACAAAGATATACTCCGAAAATCTAATGGCATGTAAGGTGTTTTTCCATCTATTAGGTGGGATTAGCAATTCCCTTAGTTTTTGTTTCACATGGAAGGAGGTGGATGAATGATTTGAAGTCTTACAAACGAGGTGATTGTTGGGGCATGGAGGAGTTTTGGGGTTTAACTTGCAACATTTGATTTTGGCAATTGGGAAGGGAATAGAGACCATAATGGATGAGGGAGAAGTGGCTTGTTGATGTTCCAAGGACTGCGGAAACGGAGAGATAGTGGGAGTGTGGCTACCATTGGGGAGGGTGAAAGTTGACTTGGGGAAGGGATTAGGGTGGGGATGGGGTTGAATAAGTGAATGTGACGTTATGAATTAGTAATTTAGAATATTGGATTTAGAAAACAAATTGAAGATGAAATGGATTCCTAAGTTTAGAAGATGAAAATGTCATTTCTCTTTTGATTCTTGTCTCTGATGAATACAGATGCGGAGTTATCCGAAGATTAAGTGCCACAAAAGAGGAGACAAATGAAATTGCTAGCAAGTAGCAATGTCGTCAGCAACTTTCATCAGACACTAAAAAATGATGATTATTAATTTTACAACGATGAAATCCAAATAAAACATTTACAACACTAAAAACAAACACACTCTACATTTGCAGCAACCAAACATATATTTAAATATTTTTCTTATATTCAAAACTAGAGGGAGTATCGGTTAACATATTGGATTTGAGAGGAAACCTTTCCCACCCTATAGTCCTCAACTCTCAGTAGTCAATCCTCTAAAAATACAAATATTTTAAGCAGAACATAAGTCCGATGATTCCAAAAGAATTTAAACATGGAAGCATGTCAAATGCATACAATCATTCTTAAAGTATTTACCTCACAACTTGGCCCTTGACAACCCTCATAGCCTAAGTGTAAATTTCTGCTGACAACAAAATAATGATTTCCGACATCAAAACAACAATCGACCTGTCAAATGAGACTAGATAGATAACGTACTCCTTTAAATCTCTATGTCTACAATTTTTAGGGTACAATATGACAATGAAAAACAAAAGAAAGCCTACCCTTCATATAAATTGTCAAAAAACTATAGCTTGGGTAAAATGCCAGACGGTTCCTAACCAATTCTGAATGTAAGTGTGAACTCTTTTACAAGTTTGAAGAGTAATACCACGCGGCATGGTGCTCAAATCTTAAACAAACCCCAAAACATGCATCTTTTGTTGCCACGAAAGGGAGCATGCTCCTTCATGTGTTCCCCTTGCAAACATCCACATTCATGGAAATCGCTGAAGCTTCATCCAAGTATAATTAGATGCAGTTAAAGGAGCACTGTTCAATAAATTGGCAAATGAAAAAGATGTCAAGTGCTGTTACCTATTAATCCATCATACAGAAACTATTAGAATCCCGTTTATACAGGGAATCATTCCATACACGCACTCATGCTCTCACTTATAATAATTGGGACTCAGATTATAAATTGTTTCAATTATAGTAAGCTATGTTGAAATTTTATTCATGTAGACAGGAAAGCATAGTGCTTGTTTGGTCTGAGACATTATTCATAAAAGAAACAGTGAAAAAGAAAACTAATTATTTTTGTCATCACAATTTCTCTTTGAAAACAAGAAAATAAATAAACAGAAGCTGACTTTTTTTTGCAATTAAAGATGAAAATATAAAATATTTTTTAAATCCAAGTCCTTAAATTTTTTCATGTAGCTAAATCTCTGTAAACCTAAATTGTAAGAGACATGGTTTCAATGCCAGGCAAGATCTGTAGAATCCAAAATGTGGCTAGATTATTAGATTATCACACTATACAACAAGGTCTAGCAAAATTGAGGTATCCATTGATGTGTTGTTATTGTTTGGATGAGCTTGAGTTTGTAAATGCACTTTTGTCCAAAGTTACAACCAACCATGACTCAATATTCAAACTTCAGGCTTCGTATACAGATAAAGCGGGAATTGAAAAGCAAACAATTATCCCAAACCTAATTGATTCTTCATCACCATTTCTTTACTTATCTAATACTGTATCACTTAATTAAGGGATAAAGCAACACCCTATAAGGGTTCGTACTTTCCAAGTCTTCTTATGGTAAGGCCACATTACCACTGGAATCAAAAACTAGCGGCAGGTCACAAACTCTATTCCTTTTGTTATTATAAACCGACAACAATTCTTTGTTTACTAATTTCTGATGAAAAAATCTTAAACAAATAATAATAAACTAGTGTTTTTGCCTCCTCAATTTCTAAGGTCAGAGCGTTCAAACTTTTCAACATCCACATTCATGAGCATAGAACTTGATAACTGTAACTCTAAAACTTAAGCAGAAAATAATATGAACATGTCCATTTTCTATACTGTAATTTATATGAACAAAGGGAAAAAAACAGAAGTGTCAAGTGCAGTAATAACAAGGTTCGTACCTTCTTTAAAATATCTTCAATTATCTAGCAGTCCAAAGCTACTGGGTGGCCAAACCTGATAGAAAACAGTATTTGAAATATCTTTACACTAGATTCGGATAAATAGAACAATTTTGCAGTTGAAAGAGAAGTGTGCAACAAATATATAGTTATTTTGGGATAAGAAAAACTATATTTGCAAAGCATAATAACATGAAAGTAATTAATCAGAAGGACCTAGTTCCAATTGGCAAACGATGTCCTCACTACAAAGATCGATGAAGTTTTTCCAGTATATCATATCTAGATCAGCAAAGAACATCTAGAACTTCTCTAGCCATTAAATTTACAATTTGTAAAGATAGAATCAGTAGACGTTTCCAAGTATATGCATGAGTCCGGAAAGAACATAGAAGCATTCATGTAATAATATAACAGTATCATTAGAACCCTAGCTCCCTCTAAATTATTCAGGAAAAATACTATTGATCCACATGGAAGTATAAAAATTGATGTAAGAGAAACCTATTGAACCAAAATGGAAGTATAAAAAATTGAAGAATATAGTATGAGGCACGACACGACAGTTACCCTAAAAAACACTTTTCCTTTTATAAGGCCATATGGAACAGGACCAAAGTGACGTGAATCACGGGAAGCATAGATGTTATCTCCTTGAATCCAAACATGCCCCTTTGGCACCTACGGGAATAAGTGTTGATAAACTAAGCAATAAATCAAACTTATAAACAGAAATTAAATAAGAATATTATTATAATTTATAACAGGAAAAATAAATTCAACCTGCAAGACATGTATTCCAAGCAGATGGAAAAGAAATAAGACAGTTGTTTAATAAGTTATTAATTATAGAGTTTTAAGACTCAACATGGGAAATTGGATCAGAAAGATGCTCTGATATGTGGAATCAAGGATATCGGTAAGCTTGAGTAAATAAGTATTGCAATCTAAAAAATGACCAATTGCCTCAGCCAAGAGCATAGGGATATTTCAAGTAACATAACCAGATACCTTAAACAAATAACTGATCTTTTACCATAATGGTTTACAGTAAAATAATGGCAACGGCAAAGTGAGCAAATCAGATAAATACATTCCCTCAAGGCTCATTGATAATAATCAACATATATGCTATATGGAACCTTAAGAATTGCATAATTTGAAGAAACCTTGCAATGAAACTGTACTTTCTATCACATATATATGAAAGAAGTAGGAAATCGCATTCAATCATTCCCTTAATTAAATCCATTCACTAAAATTATCATCTAAACATCTAACAATCTAACTCAGTTGAATGGACAACCACAAAGATTCATCTAAATGGGACATACCACACGAGTAATAATTCTCTTATTGAACACATGTTAATCAATGGCTTGCAATCTCACACCTTAACAGTTCTTAAACCTTCTTCCACTCACTACAATCCAGCATGATAAAACATTTATGTGATACTTTCCAGAAAATATAATAGTATTTGCATACTTCTCCGCAACTACGATTAAGGCTGTATCAGCCACATTTGATTGTGAATCTCCATAATATCATGAATTGCTTGTGACCACAGCCATTACCACAACTGATATTTAAAAATTGTTTCGGCACACCAAAAAGTTTCATATTGTTTAAGAAAGGCTAAGAGTAGTTTATAAACATCACTCTCCTCAACCTAATGGGGAGGATTTTAACTAAGAACCAGAGTGTAACGACTCGCATTCACATAAGACCAAAACAAACAACACCTCAGAAAGGCATGGTTGCACACTTAAGGTCGAAACATTGACGTTGGAAAGAGGATTAAAGTCACGCGCGAGGGGCTAATAGACTATGAAATACGAACACTAGAAACACAACACTTACACGTCGAAACCAGTAATAATTTGAAAAACAAATAAATTGAATGTGATCACAAGTGTCAAAGTCAGTTTAAGACACCAACACAGACACATTTTTTCAGAGGTTCTCGGTGCTACAGAGCTAATAGATCCTTTAGCCCCTTAACCTTGATTGGGGACTATTGTTCCAGGACACCAAAAGAGTGTCACATTGCAGAATCGAGCCAATCGAGGCTAAGGATAATTTTTAAACTTACTTGAGTCCTCTCAAAAATATGGACAAAACTACTAGGGCTTACAAAAGACCCTAAGCTAACAAAACATTGTTCATAATTGTTGACCTAACATGACAGCAATCAAGTATGCACGTTTTCACAACAATGTACTTCAAATAAACTACAAAAATCAAAACTAAAACAGACAAAAGAAAAAATGAAGAACAAACCATTAAGCACACACACCACAGCAGTTCGAGAGGAATCAGAGCCCGAAGCATCAAAGAAAGTAACAGTATCCCCTTCCATAGCAACAACACGCTTTGTCAAGTTCCGATTAGGGTTCAAAGGTGACCGTACAAGAACCAAATCACCATGACCAATTTTCCCAATCCGCGGAGATAGATGTTCGACGAGAACAACATCGCCGCCGATATTCAGGGTAGGGAGCATACTAGGTCCATACGCCTGCAAACAGAGCATCCCAGCAATTGAGTCAATAGTGTGTATACAAAAAATACGAAGAAGAAGAAGAATAAGAACGGAATGAATACGTGAGTTGGGGACCGACGGGCCCAATATTTCCATCCGAACCGACCCAAAGTAGTCCATGTTAAACCGAAACAATTACCCGCCTGACCTGTTAACCCAATATAAACCGGCCCGGAATGCCCAATAGGATTTGGTCCGGTCGGATAACTTCGGTTGGTTTTATTTTGCCCAGCCCTAGTGTATAGCACGGCCCAACAATAAATCGTGAATCGCGGAAAGTAACAGTTTGTTCAAAATTATTGTCTTGCTAACATACTATTCTTTCATAAAATAATAATCCAATATCAGTTGTTAATTACAATGGATTGTTCAAAGTTTGAACTGAGCTAAGACCAGATTTATTAAAAATACCCTTAGTCTTCATTTTGTTCCGTACAACTTCAACATCATTCCATCTTTCTGCTGAAGCATAGACATTTGACAAAGCAACATAATCTTCACTTTTATGAGCCAAATCTTCATGACTCTTCTCTTTAAACTTTAGAAGAAACCTTCCCACTTTATCTCCCATCACAACATCCCCATGAATCTTACAAGCACTGAGCAAGCTCCTCCAAATCACAGCGTCCGGACTAATCGGCATTGCCATGATAAAATCATAAGCCTCATTCAAGTTTCCGTTTCGTCCAAGAAGATCAACAACACAGCCATAATGTTGTATCCGAGGCACTACACCAAACTTCGGTTCCATATCACGAAATAACCGAAGCCCTTCTTCAACAAGCCCTGCATGACAACAAGCCGACAACAAACTTGTAAAAGTCGTTTCATTCGGCCTCACGCCATCATCTCCCATCTTATACAAAATCTTCAATGCCTCTTCCCCTCTCCCATGGATAGCTAGCCCGGTAGTCATGGCAGTCCAAGTCAAAACATTCCTCAATTTCATCCGCCAGAAAACATACAAAGCACTCTCAAGACAGCCACATTTCGAGTACATATCAACAAGTCCTGTCCCTATAAACACATCCTCTTCAACCTTACACAACAGCTTCACCGCAAACCCGTGTAAGCAGACACCGATTTCCATCATACCTGATTGAGAAGCCGCAGAAAGCAAGCAAACCACGGTTCTACCATTCGGTCTAACTTCATTCCCACCAACCATCAACATTTTCTTAAACAAACACAACCCATCCACAGCATTTTTTCCATTTCCATCTTTTACCGAACAATAACCCGTAATCATAGCATTCCACGTGACAACAGTTCTGTCAGACATTTCATCAAACACCTTACGTGCTGACTTAACATCTCTATTGCTAGCATAGAAATGAATCAACGTAGTTGGAATCAAAACATTGGAACCAAAACCTTGTTTTATGATTAAGGAGTGCAACTGTGTTCCTAATTTTAACGTCGAATAGGAAGGAGAACGAGCAGAAGCACCAAGGATGAAATTGAAAGTGTGGTGATCAAAATGAATGAGTTGTTTTGAGAAGTAGGTTTTGAAAATGTGAATTGAGTGGTTAAGAGGGGTGCATCTAAGGAGAGTGTTGAAGAGAAATAAAAGTGGGGTATGAAAGTAGTAAAAGATGGAGTAGAGAAAGTTAGGGTTTGGTGAAGTGGAAGAGTAATGATCGATTAATTTGGCAAAGAGTTTGGGGGAATTAAGGTTGTTGGTGATTAGTTGGGCGTGGATTTGTTTAATGTTGTTGTTTGTTGAGGTTTGTTGGGGAAAAGAATTTAAGAGTGAAATGCATTTGAGTCTTGGAAGGGTTATTGGCATGAGATAATGGATTGGAAAAACTTGGAAGAATGTGTTTTGTTTTCACTTTGGAAATTGGTTCTCAAGTTTGAATACACAAGTTGACAAGTACCTAAACTGAAGGGGAAAAACTAAACAGAATTAATTTATTGAGCAAATTTACAAATCGTGAGAGATAAAGTGCAATGAAAAAACCTAAAAATTGGATAGGTAATGGTTGTGGTAAGCTGCTGGAAAGAAAAATGAATCTGAGAAATAAGACAGCGATGTTTTAATGTCATTCGCTTTATCGTGAGAAATAAGCATCGTTGCTCGCTGAATTTGTTTCGTCAATGACATTAAAATTAAATTGACTTGTGTTAGTCATATAATAAACTTTTATTATATTAAGACATAAAATCGAAATATAATGTCACTATATAGACATTTCAAATATATGGTTCATACACTAAGATCCTAAGAAATAAAGTACATTGTATCTCCATTATTATTACTGCTATCTTGTATGTTAATCATGCAAATACTCCTTAGATCCGCTGTATTACAGATAGTAAATACTGGTTAAAGACATTGAATCAAAATTGATATTTTTAGTTCAAGAAGCAACAAGCAACATGATCGCAACCTTCTATCCATAATATATCATCAACTTAGTGCATTAGAAGTTCAGCTCCGCCATAGTTTCTGTAATTATCATTATTTCTGATTCTGCAACGGAACAATGATGTTGTTTGTGGGAATCGACTTTTGGTTTATGCGATTTCCGCGATTTCAAGTTTGATCCTCAAATCTGATCTTTGAAGAGATCTCCGTCGAAGAAATCGAAGTCGTGAGAAGTTGGAATCTCAGATCTACGTCGTTTGGATCCACTGAATCCCAATCCAATATCGAGTAATCCATTGTGTCGATTCTGACCTGCAGCGAAGTGACGTCATCAAATACCCCGGAGACATAAATTCGACACTACAACATTCTAACTCTCTGGGGGCATCCACCTTCAGTAGTACCTGTGCTCACCGGAGACGTATGAAGCTAAGTGATGTCGAGACATATTTACGTATAAGGACGGTTTGTTACCTTTGACGACGAATTCAATAAATATCAAGCCATGAGATCTAGGGCTGTCAAACACATATCAGGGAATCGAGAATTTGTTTGTAAATGAAAGCTATGTGCGACGACAACGATGTACATTAATTGGCCAAGAAATAAACATACCAGTGTCCCAACGGCAGTAGTTCGGGAGAATCAGACGTCAGTTCTTCTGGATGTCGGGAACAGAAAATCATTGTGGAAAACATGTAACAGAAAATCATTGTGGAAAACACGTTGCTCCTGCAGGCTAAAAGAGATATTGATACTGCTAGATGATGTTTCAGTGGGGGTGAAGATTCAATTCTGTTGCAATTAAAAGATGGTTTTTTCCTTCTGATAGTGAGGTAATCTATGTGAGTTCTCTCAAAGCTGAGATAGATGCTAGTGAGCAGGATGAAGTTTCTCAGAGATTACTAGATGACTTTAATTGTGTGCCTACCTTTCTACCCCTTTGGTCTGTAGAGAAAGTTTTATCTTGGTTTCTGTAAGCAGCAGCTCTGGCCTCTGTTCCATTATGCTACCCGACCCATCAAACCCAGCTTGCTGTCCAAGACTTTAACAATCTTCAAGTTGGCGTCCAAGCTATCATTCACAAGTCATCCTCACGCCTCGCAGGTCTATGGTTCACCACATCCAAGCATACCTCCAAGATCCCTCATCAACACAGTTACATTCAAGCATAAATCAAGCTCTAATTATGAAAGAAGGTAATCAACCCATTTATCAGGAATCAGTGCTGAAAACAAAAACAAACAAAAAAAGCAAAATATTCTTTGTCAACACTGGAATCAGAAGGTAATCACAAATCATAATGCAAGCTACAAAGGAATAATCTATATTTATAGGCACATAAATCTATTTGCCCCAGTAACTCATCTGTACAAGTCAATCCAAACCTACGCTGATTTGTTATCTATGTGTTGATTTTATGGGACCATTTAAACTATGTATCAAGTTGTCTATGAGACCAAAATGAATTTCATTGAAAATAAACATATATCAGCTAGAATCCACTTGCTTATGGTGTGCTGACATTTCAGCCATGAATTATCAGAGGAATATTACCTAATTTTCGATAGTGGACTTGTTCAAAGTTTTTAGTTACACATCAACTGAAAAAATAAAAGTATGGCAACCATAGCTTTCAAGCGTGCTGAGTTTTATTTGTCAAAGGAGAAAAAATAAAATGTGATACTGTGATGTAACCTTTCAATCATATTTTCAGATACTAAGAGACTTGTTTAAGAATTAATCTGGTTAATATAGACAGATTGTCTGGCTTCGATGAAATGCCTTATGCTTGTCGCATCTCCGTGCATGACTACCTTTCCATCTTCCATGTAGATTGCACCATCTGCATACTCTAGTTCTTCCAAACGATGGGTGACCCATAATGTTGTAACTTCTTCAGATGTATCCAGACAGTTTCTAACAGCTTTGATAACGCCAACCTTTTAAGGTAAAGTGTGAAACATATATCAGTAAGTGTTGGTATTGCGCCGAAACGTCAAAAGCCCTCATGTTCAGTGGTAAGAAAAAATAAATTGTTATCTGTCCGCGTGCATATCACCATATGTCAGATGCGGATAAAAGGCATAGGTTTATAAATGATATGAAGGACGAAAAAAAAACATCAGCTAAACCTTACAAGCTTCTGCTAGAGCACCAGCAATGGCAACCCTCTGCTTCTGGCCACCACTCAGAGTTTGGACAGATCTCTGAACATTGCAACAGAGGGAAAGTTCATTTATTATACGTACAATTCACGCATTTGTTTTGGCGTTCAAGTCGAAGTCCATAATACCTTCATGTAGTCAGCTAAACCGACAGCATGTAAAGCTTGGGACACCTGGATCTGACTTCATCATCGGCCAAATTGATTTTACCAAAGACCAAATGCAACATCAGAATCGACTGTAGGCATCACCACCTGTTACAAATTCTATACTATTATACTACACACTTTACAGACTTATTACTATTAAATAGACCATACATACACTGATACACCAAAAATTTCAGCTTACCATGTGCTACTGACCAAAAATTTCAGCTTACCATGTGCTACTTACCATTGTCTAAAATTTCAGCAAAATTCATAACAATGTCTGTCCAGCAACTGACCATC